TGTGTGTGATGACTAAATAAATCCCTGCAGAATGTCTATCAGCGGTAGGCAAACTGCAGCTCTGGTGAAACTACAGGTCCCATGAGGCATTGAAAGACTCCACAGCCACAGGCATGACTCCCAGAAGCAGATGCATTATGGGATTTGTAGTTTCACCACAGATGGAGAGCCAATGTTTGGCTACACCCTGGCCTATATGCTATCCCGTCTTTCTCTGAGTTTCCTTTCTTAATACAAAAACATGCTAGTAGGTTAATGGGCCTTTTCCAGTTTGTCCCTAGTGTGTGTATAGTGTAGAGCGGGGTAGACAAATGATAATGAAGCTCAGGAGCCAGTCTGTCCAGTCCGGGATTATTTAGGAGCCAACTCCATTGACAGAAACTAGAGGAGACCTCCAAAGTTAGGAGCCAGGTGTAAGTTTAAGGCCTGGTTCACACCTGTACGTTTTGTAGCGCGTTCAACGCTCTACGAACGCTCTACAAAACGCTCAAACATGAAAATCCCATTGTTTTCTATGGGTATGGTACACACCTTGCCGTATTTCAGCCCGTCTGAACGCGCTACAAAGCGGCCTACGCCTGAAAAGGTACATGAGCTTCTTTGCGGCGTTTTTGTCGAGCGTTTCCACTGGGATACAGCCAAGTAGCCCTCGGAAACGCGCGTTTGTCGTGCGTTTTTTTACCGCGAATCGCAGTAAAAACGCGCGTCACGAAACACGCGACAAACGCGCATATTACATACACCTATGTGTGTTAAGGAGCACTGGTGACCTGGCTCCTGGGATTTGTCCAGCCCTGGTGTAGAGGGCATATTAGATACTTTATGGGCAAGGACTGACTTGGTTCTAGTCTCTAAAGCTCTGCGTAATGTTACACCATAATAATAGTTGTTTGTACCGGGGGTGGGCAAAGGAATATGGAATACAGGATCCAGGTCATTGACAGCAACTAGAGAAATTAGGGACCAGCTATATTTTTTTTTTTAAGGAGCATTGGCGACCTGGGTCCTGGGATTTGTCCAGCCCCTGGTTGTTGGTACCCAATATCTATTTGGCCATGATTGTGGATGCCAAACCCTGTTGTGGTCTGCGTCAAAGTATGACCTAGAGGAGCTGCGTACTCCATTGCAAGCAGTTGGCCCTTCAATAGCCATGGCTGATTGTCAGGCATGTGACTGTCATTTCCTGCGTAGTACACAATGTATCCAGCCGAGGGGCCTCTGAAATCCCTTGCAGACCGATGTACCCTCAGCAACAAATTGCGTGGACTTGTTTGGACATATTTGATGGATTTTTATTGTGTTCCGCATAGTTAAATGTAGCTCCCGCGCCTGGCAAAACATCAGTAATACAGCCCAGATGACGGATCTCCACTTCCTGTGCGGCAACATCTATATGAGCCATTAGTAGCAAGCATCAGAACCAGAATCTGTGTAGGGGAAAGCTGAACAGTAATGGCATTGCGCACGTTTTATGGGAAAAGCTTTATGATCATTGATGAGCTGGTTGGTTGATTCCCTATGTGTGGATATAAGAAGCACTGTGGAAGATGGGCCGGGTTTACACTAGGGACGCACCCATACTGGGTTTTCAGTAGTAAGTACGAGTACTGATTTAATTTTTCGGTACTCTCCAATGCCAAATACCAATACCGGGTTTTTCAGTATTGAGTAGCGATATTTTTTTGGGGGGGGGGGTACTCGCCGATACCGGAAGTCCCATTTAAGGAAGCCGGGCAGAGTGTAATGACTCGCCGGCCGGCTTCCTGATTAGCCGGGAAGCCGTCTCCTTGCTCCCTCATCACCAGGTAACGAGGGAGCATGGAGCCGCCTTTCTGGACAATCCGGAAGCCGGGGGCGAGTCATTACACGCCGTCCGGCTTCCTGGCCAAGGAAGCCGGCTCCATGCTTCCTTGTTCCTTGTAACCTGGTGATGAGGGAACATGGAGCCGCCTTTCTGAACAATCGGGAAGGCAGGTCAATACACACCGTCTGGCTTCTTGAGTGGCTGGCAAAGCCGGCTCTATGCTTCCTTGTCACCTGGTGATGAGGGAGCATGGAGCCGGCTTTCTGGCCAATCAGGAAGCTGGGGGGCGAGACATTACACACGCCGTCCGGCTTCCTGATAAGCCGGGAAGCCGGCTCCATGCTCCCTTGTCACCTGGTGATGAGGGAGCATGCAGATAGCTTCCCGGCCAATCGGGAAGCTTAGCAGCATGCAACAACTCGTCGCCCAGCTTCCTGATACCGGGAATAGTATTGGAGCATTTCGGCAAGGACTCCTACACGGACAAATACTCGGTATCAGCATCGGTATTAGTAACAGTATTGGTGCATCCCTAGTAAACCTTTTATAATGTAAACATGAATCCTCATCAGATCCAATCTATGAAGACAATCGGGACACTCGGCAGATCCACGGACCCCCACAGATCAACAGAGGTCAGGTCTCGCTTAGTTTATTCCCGCCTGTGTCTCCCATCAGCAACGGTGGATACACTCCCAACAGCAGCTCCCAGTTGCCTCCCCAACACTCCCAGTAGCGATCTTTTACTTGCAATCAGATTGAGAGTTTAAACATTGCAGGTAGAGCTGCAGCTAACGATTATTTTCAAAATCGATTAGTTAGCCGATTATTAAGTTCGATTAATCAGTTAATCGGATAAACAATAAAATAAAGTTTAAAAAATGGCTCCAGTGATGGACTACTAGTTTGTATTGAGGTTGTAGTCCATCACAGGAGCAAGCTTGGAGCGGTGGAAGTAAAAAAGAAAAAAAAGATAGTGTGGTGTGCAATATAGTGAAATGGAAAGTGTAAAATTATACAGCAATGAATGCAGAATGGCACCGGCTATAGAGGACTACAAAACCCAGCAAAAGCACATTATACAGCGCAATGCAGAACACCGCCAGCTATAGAGGAATACAACAAATCCCAGCAATAGTACACAATAGCTGGCGGCATTCTGCATTGCGCTGTATAATGTACTATTGCTGGGTTTTGTAGTCCTCTATAGCTGGTGGTATTTAGCATTGTACCACTTTATAATGTACTATTGCTGGGATTTGTTGTAGTCCTCTATAGCTGGTGGTATTCCGCATTGCGCTGTATAATGTATTATTGCTGGGACTTGTAGTCCTCTATACAGCGCAATGCAGAATATCACCAGCTATAGAGGAGTACAACAAATCCCAGCAATACATTATACATACAGTGTATAATGCATTGCTGGTATTTGTATTCCTATGTATAATGTACAGTACAATGTACCAGAGAAATACAAATCCCAGCAATACATTATAGAGCACCATGTGTGGGAAAGTGCAGGCTTACCTGAGCAGTCTTCCAGCAACTTGCTTCTGAGATCGGACCTGTCTATCAGCGGCTGTCATCCCCCCACCCCTGTTCCTCCTTACTACATCTCCCCGCGTGCCGTGCCGATCGTGGATGGGCAGGAAATGTGAGGCGGGGAGGAGGTGCGGCGTGTGGAGCGTGGATGCGAGCGGGTCTGGCAGCGGCGAGCGTGAGGTGGGGAGGAGGTGCGGCACACAGTGTGTGGAGCTGTGAACAGGGCCAACCGATCGGAAGCCGATTAATCGATTATTGAAAAAGTTGACAACTTTTTCAATAATCGATTATAATCGATTATGTCGATTAGTTGTTGCAGCCCTAATTGCAGGTTTACTAAAGTCTCTGTAAACCTTAGCGATGAACTTCTCTTATTTGCTCCTATTTGGTCTGTTTTAATGTGCCAAATATAAAGGAAGTCGTTTATCTGTTTGAAAAGTGCAAAAAAAAAACCAAAACCTGTTTCTCTTGCCAGAATTTCAGAGCTGTCCCGTTTCCTCTCTACACTTCCAGTCTTATCTCAAAGAGACTTCCTAGTTCTTATTACAGAATAAATTAACCTTTTGTGTTGTGGAGATCTGAGAGTGGGAGAGGTTGAGTAGTTTAGTAAGACACTGAACAGGGCAGTGGTAAGCACATTCAGTTCAGGGAAGAGCTTGGACAAGTGTGGAAGACCAAACGGAAGGCTGGAGATCAGGGTTAAGAATGGTAGTTGTCCTGATAGCAACCCAGCTCCCAATGCTGCTGTGCCTACAAAGTGCTCAAGGATGTATACATTGCCTACTCACACCAGCAGAGCAAGGATCTGCTCGCACGGTGGCATCTCTTCTGTTAGTTTCCTGAGATTTTACTTCCAACTACCGCTCTCCTCAAACCAAGTGCGGAGAATGTAGAAGTCACTTGGATTGCATTGGATCCTGCTTCTCCCAGCATTACCTTCTTAAAGGAGAACTATGGGGTTAAGGCTTTTCCCCATAGTTCTCCTTAGGGTAACGGGAGAACTAGCGTCCTCCCATCACCCTAGGCTCAGTATACCGCGAGCTGTAGCTCGCGGTATACTGAGACGCCGCAGCTGAAGCGGATCCTGACAATTATGCCGGGATCCGCCCAGCTGCGTGACTGACAGCTGGCTCTGCCTATCTAGAGGCAGAGCCAGCTTTACCCTCCCCCGTCAGTTCCGCCAGTCAGCGCTGGCGGAGGGGGGAATTCAGCCCCTCCCCTGTCACGGCAGAGAGCCGTGACAGTATCGAAAGGTGAGTGAACGCCGGTATGTGTTCGCTCACTTCCCGATCTACTGAGCCGACCTGTGACAGTCTCATTGTCACAGGTCGGCTAGAACTATGAGATGAGTGAAAATCACTCACCTCATAGTTCTCCTTTAACCATGCCAAGGTATATAGTTGCTTTTAACAGACAGTTGGCTTTTTTCTTTTTTTTTTAACCTAGAAATGATCCCATCGATCCCCCTAATCCGTGGATCAGGGAATGTAAAAGCTGCATAAGCGTTTGCCGGTTTGCCAATTCTTCATCCGTTCACGGAAATCACTCAACAGAATCCTTTTTTTTTGTCCGCTGCATTCCGCAAAGCAGTTTGCCATCTTTATTTTTTTTTTATGATGACTTTATGTTCCTCTAATATTTGTATCCTTTACAGGCACTGACATAGCAGCAGCTGAGGAAGTCGCAATAAAGTTAGAATGCGTGAAGACGAAACATCCCCAGCTCCACATCGAGAGCAAGATCTACAAGATGATGCAAGGAGGAGGTGAGGACATCAGCTGGACACACATGGATGTTGTCAGTTTCTTGTGACATGCCACAAGCAGACTTCCCTTTGTCTCTCCAACATTTCTTACCAGCTTGTTTTAGGATTCTTTTGTATTTCTTTCTTTTTTAGTGGGAATCCCAACCATAAAGTGGTGTGGAGCGGAGGGCGACTATAACGTCATGGTGATGGAGCTTCTGGGACCAAGCCTGGAAGATCTCTTCAACTTTTGTTCCAGGAAATTCAGCTTGAAGACTGTACTGCTGCTAGCTGACCAGATGGTAAGTTTTGTTTTCGGCAATAAGAATGAGGTCCCTCGTGATATTTAGGCTGAATAAGAGAGACACTTTTTATACTGTTGAGTGGGGGGACCTTTTAGGACGTAATCTGCTGATGAGCGTGTGTAAAGACCGCACCTAAGGCCATTTGACATCATCTGGGAATGGAGTTGGTTTTACACTCAAATGGTTGATATCATGTGACTGTCTGTTTTACCCCTGCAGTCAGTGTGGGTTGATTTTAAAGTTGACATTTCAGTAATGTTTAAAATTTCTCTCCCGTTCATTGAAGGACACAGGGCAACAGATCGTAGAATGGTCCTCCCTTCCCCTTAGGACCCCGCCGATCGGAGGCGGTTTTGTGGACCATGTACTCCGTTTTGGGTGCCTCTATGCGTCCGGGCCTGGCTTCTGCCTTGGCCTCTCGGACTTGACGGAGCGGGCGCAGGTGTTGCATCAGGGATTAGCGGTGACGGGCGTTTTCCCGCTTAGGTAGGGTTGTAGGAACAGTGGGTGCAGGACCTTAGGTGTGTCTGCAACTCTGCCCTAGTC